GTTCAGCGTCAGCCGTCGTGGGAAGTCACGTTACTTAGTGTGCTCTGCAGAGGGGGAAGGAGCATCTCCAGGGCCACCACGCGGGCCTGCGGCGGGGTCGCTCAGGCGGGCGCATGTCGGTGCCTTGGAGTTCGCACTGCCTGTCACAGCCGCATGTCCTGTCCCCAGACCCCTCCCGTGTCCACCAGAACGCGCTCTTATGTCAGGGACACACACTTTTTTCTCTTTAGTAAACGTCTTTTTCCTGTTTTCATAAATGGTAAGCTGCCCATTTCAAAATAAAATTTATGCTGAAAATTACATAAGCATTTAAAAAAGTAGCTTCAAACTATTCATCTCCAGAGAAACACACACAAACACACACATACACACGCACGCACACACATGCGGTGACACATCTATTGGAAATCTATTTTGAAGCCCGAATCAGCAAGCCATTTCTATGCCTAAACAATGAAATTACAGTCTTGTCTGGCAAGTTCCCAGTGACAGCCTTGGAAAACTGTGCAGTACAGTAACGGCAGCCCTGTGATTCATTGTGGGCACAGTGGGCTCACTGGGACTGGCTGTGTGCGCGTCCTTGTCACGTGTCAGCCGGGACACATGGACATGCGCTGGCTCTGCACCCCCTCCTCGTGTCGGTGCTGCCGGAAGGCTCCCCTCGGTCCCTCTGGGGGGGGTGGGGGACCTCATTTATTTATGCACGTGTTTACAGGGTAGTTACCTCCAGGTTGGTGTGTTTTAGGAGAGTTGGGACACCAGACCTCATTCTGCAGCTCAGGACTAACCTGCTTCGTGCCAGAACCTACAGGTGTCAGCGAGCCCCCCCCACAGGGCACAGAAAATGGGGAGAAACCATCTGAGGCCCTCCTGGCTCCCAGAGGCTGAGGGCTTCTTAAAACACAGCAAAGCCCATAGTGCCAGGAGGGCTGATAAGGTCCCTGTAACCCTGTCCCTCGGATGGCTGCCTGGGGCCCATTTTTTTTTTTTCAATCTTCACCCGAGGACATTTTTCTATTTTTTGTTCAGGTAGAGTGGGAGGGAGAGAGAGAGAGAGAGAGAAACATCGACGTGAAGGGACACATTGAGTGGCTGCCACCCGCACGACCAACCAGGGTCGGGGACAAACTGCAACCGAGGTACGTGCCCTTAGCGGGAACCGAACCCGGGTCTCTCCGGACCGCAGGCCGACGCTCTAACCGCTGAGCCACACCGGCCAGGGCGTGGGACCCATTTTTAAGTTGGAAGTTCTGATGGTAGCATTCTTGTTCTTTTTTGAGAGAGAAGGGTTGACTCCGAAATAGCACTTTTTGCTGGCAGCTGACAAGAATCATCTCAGAGGTTTGTTGATTTGGCCACTGAGGAGCGCCAGGGGCAGAGAATGATGTTGGGACTGTTTCTTAAAAGGTTCACCAGAAAAGTCACCAGGAAGGGCCCTGAGTGGGCATCAGGAAGGCCCCAAGTGGGCCTCCCCTGTGCCGAGCTGTTGGTGGTGTGATTTCCTCAAGATAATGGCATTTTGGGCTGAAATCGTACCGTGAGAGTGTTTTTTTCCATTTCTACATCTGTATATTTTCCCTTTCAAAATATTTTTCAGCTAAAAACCCATGCCACGCAGCTCTGTCGGGGTTTTGTTGGGAGGACGGGGTGGGCGAAGAGGCACGGCTGCCTGGCACTGCCTGGCCTTGCTCCAGAGCGCTCCTGGGACCGAGGGGCCTGCTGGCTTCTGGGACCGCTTTTAAGCGAGGTTTGGAGGAAGCCGCAGAAGAAATGGAAACTGTCTTCGCTGCCCAGGCTTTGGCTGGGGATCAGGGTGGCATCCAGGCTGTTTGAGAATGCGTGGATTTCTCGGGAAGCCAACAGGGCAGCTCGAAACTTTTTCAAATGTGCAGGAGATTCTGCGCACCCCCTCCCCCCTAGAGAAGGGGGACAGTACTGCCACATTGCATGCAGTGGGACTCACCGGGGCCCCCTGAGCCTCCACTTCTGTAGTGGCTGGGGCTGCGCTCACATCTGACGGCCCCTTTGCCCGGCTCTGGGCCTGTAGGGCAGGTGCTGCCTGTCCTTCCTAGACGTGACGGCCTGTGGGGCAGGTGTGTTCTGGCTGTTCACTCTGCACCGGGCTGGGGGACCTGAGTGAAGGGGCCAGGGAGGAGGTGCTTGCAAGGGGCTTTGGTGACATGCAGTTGCCTCCTGTCATGTGTCCTGACTCTCAGCCCCTGACAGATGAGTGCCCTCGGGGTATGAAGGACACCCCTCGAAAGCCACATGGTTGGTTAAGGAGGGACCAGGGCTCCCAGGGACCGCTTGGTACTCCCTGGTGCTGGCCGTGACCCCAAGACCTGCCACACCTGGATGGCACATAGGCGGGGTCTCCGTGTTCTCACCCTGGGCTTTGAAAGAGCCCTTTGAGTTGGCGACCGTCTGACCCTCCACACCCTGGTGCCCTGACGTAGAGGCCAGATGGAGCCTACATTTATTTCAGAGCCACTGGTCTCCAGTGTTTCAGTGTTTTTTCCTGCTGTAAACCTATTTCTGTATGTTCCTTAAACTCCCAGGATTTTTATACCCAGACGAGGGCACCGCATTAAATATAAATAGTATGTTCCATGCATACTTTTGTACATTACGTATATTCGGCATTTTGGGGGGGGGTGAACTAGGCCCTGGGATAGAAGGGGATACGTGCAAATTATCTGCCTTATAAAATCATCACAAATAATATATGGCCACCCCAAACTGGTGCCAAGACCAAAGCTGCTTGGAAAAATAATTAAAATTAGCTTTAAATGTCAGCAAAGAGGTGTTCTAGTTGGCCTCATTTGTTTATCTAATTTTAGGGTGAGTTTTTATTGATTCACGTGGGTGGAGTCACCAACCCCCGGGCTCCCTGTCCATCAGCAGGACCCCCGTGCACCTGTTGGTGGAAACAGTAACGGCCTCTGAGCACAGCTGGGCCTCCGGCCTCTCTCCAGTGTCGCTGCTCAGACCGTGTTGGTTCCTTACGTGTATGGGAAACTTGCTAGCACGGGGCCTTCTGGAAAGGTTTTAGAACATAATTCTGAGTTCTCCCTTCGTGCGGGGCATTTGGAGAGAGTAGGAGGCCTTTCTCCTGGAGGACTAGACTGGGGATGTGCACAGAATCCCCACTCCTTGGCGTGTTTGGGTGACACGCCCCTTGCCCTCCATCTGTCATCAGTATTCTGTGCGTCCGCTCCCGTGAAAACGTGGCGGGACAGACCCATAAGCAAGGAGCCACTGCCCACGTTCTTTCGGGAAAGAGCCTTTTGTCTGCGGACACGAACCATGCATCCGCGCACTGCTGGCCCAGGACCAGACACACGGAGCCCCTTCCCAACTTGTAAACCTAAGTGTGAGTTCTCGGTGTGCGTGACGTTGTACGATTGTGAAACATGGCCTGTTCCTACGTGTTTGTCTCGTAAAGAAAATCACGTCTGGGTGCCTCTCCGTGTAAGGAGACCTTCCAAAGCAGCGACTCCGTGACTTATGTTCTAGAGGCGGAGGATCACCCGCCTTGGGTGGCCCAGGGGAGCTAGGGGGCTCCCCTGCCTCCCTCTAACCCCTCAGGATACTGTCCTGAAAGAGGAGTCTCACGTGCGTTCTGATTGGCTCCCTGAGTGCGCGCATTCTGTTCTGACCGGCTCATTTTTGTGTGTATATTCTGTTCTGATTGGCTCACCATTCGTGTAGCCTCTGCTTATCACAGGTCAGATGGACATTCCTGTTTTTGCAGCACTTGGTTGCTTCTCAGTGTGGACAGTCTTGGGCCCATTTGATTGTTTACAGGTGTTGATTGGGTTTCTCAGAGCGATGAGACTTGCCCGCTGTGCGCCAGGCGCAGCCCTGGGCACCCTTGTCCAGTCCGCCCGGATTTGTGCGCAGGGTGCTGGATGCGCCCAGGTGCGTGAGGAGCGGCTCAGACCAGGGCCTCCCTGGTGCTCTGGGGGGCAGATGGGCACGGAAGCGGAGTGCGGATGCAGTGACATCAGCCTCCAGGGAGAGGCAGACCTGGCCTCTCTGGCAGGCGCTGTGGGATCTGCCCTGTGAACAAACGGGGTGGCCGCCCCACCTCCTGGCCTCAGCAGGGTTTTCTACACCTAGGACTCAGCCCTCTGGCCAGTTTTGGGTGGTTTGGGGGGCAGAGTGGGCCTGGGGTGCAGGAGGAGGAGGACAGGACCAGGATGGCAAGGATGTTGTAAGGTGGGCCAGAGTTTGGACTTTATCTCAGAGGTGGTGAGGCTGGAACCATGCGGGGTCACACACACCTGGGGGTGGTGTCCGAGGGGCAGCCAGCATCCACCACCCAGGCCTGGGGTAACAGATCTTGAGACAGCTGAGGGTTCCCTTTCTGTACTTGCTTCTCTTCTACTAAGTCATCCAAGTTCTTTTTTTTTTTTAATCCTCACCCGAGGACATTTTTCCATTTTTTGTTCAGGTAGAGTGGGAGGGAGAGAGAGGAACAGAGAGAGAGAGAAACATCGACGTGAAAGGGACACATCGAGTGGCTGCCACCTGCACAACCGACCAGGGCCGGGGACAAACTGCAACCGAGGTACGTGCCCTTAGCGGGAACCGAACCCGGGTCTCTCAGGACCGCAGGCCGACGCTCTAACCGCTGAACCAAACCGGCCAGGGCTCATCCAAGTTCTTGACCGAAGACTCCTCATTCCCACACCTCCCCCTCTTGTGTGTCTCATACTCTCACCCGGCTTCCCCTGAAATTTTTTAATCTTTTTGATAAAATTACTTTAGTGCACAATAATTGACATGGGTTTAATTATTTAACACGATCACCATCAATCACTAATGCTTGATTATTGATCTTTGAAAGGCAAGCGGCTGCTTGGATCTCTCTGGATTTTTGTCGGTGCCCGGTCTAGTTCGGCCTGGACCGATGTGTGTAAGGAGGACCCCGCAGATCACGTCGGTGGGTGTGACCGGGCCCCTGGTCCCGTGCAGACCTCCTCCCTAAGCTCTTGTCGGTGTCTCTTCTGTTCCAGGTGCTCACTGCCCGGTGCCATGCGCTCCAGGTAGGACATGCCCGTCGCGGAGGCAGGCGCGTCTCTGCAGCCCGCAAGCAGGAGGCTCCTCTGAACATGGAGAGATAAGACCTTGACCCGCAGGCCTGCCGGACCGAGAGCCCTGCCGCTCAGGCTGGGTGAGCCTGTGTCCCTGCGATGGATCGCAGCCGGGAGGCCGAGATGGAGCTGCGCAGAGGCCCCGAGGTGGCCGGGGACAAGGCCCTGAGCCACAGCTGCTGCATCTGCGGCAAGAGCTTCCCCTTCCAGAGCTCCCTGTCGCAGCACATGCGCAAGCACACGGGCGAGAAGCCCTACAAGTGCCCCTACTGCGACCACAGGGCTTCCCAGAAGGGCAACCTCAAGATCCACATCCGCAGCCACCGCACAGGGACTCTGATCCAGGGGCACGAGCCCGAGGCCGGCGAGACGCGCGTGTCCGAGGGCCTGGACGGCTGCACCAGCCCCACGAAGAGCACTTCGGCCTGCAACAGGATCCTGAACGGTGCCACCCAGCTGGACAGCCCCAAGATCCTGCTGCGGAGCAGCAGGAAGGAGGCGGAGGGCGCCGCGGAGGACGGCAGGGCGCCGGCTCAGTGCTCCTTTTGCAAGAGCAAGTTCGAGCGGAAGAAGGAGCTGGAGAGGCACGTGCACCGCGCGCACAAGCCCTTTAAGTGCCGGCTGTGCAGCTACGTGACGCTGCGCGAGGAGTCTCTGTTGAGCCACATCGAGAAGGACCACATCACTGCGCAGGGGCCCAGCGGCGAGGCGTACGTGGAGAACGGCAAGCCCGAGCTGCCGCCCGGCGAGTTCCCGTGCGAGGTGTGCGGCCAGGCCTTCAGCCAGACGTGGTTCCTGAAGGCGCACATGAAGAAGCACAGGGGCTCCTTCGACCACGGCTGCCACATCTGCGGCCGGAGATTCAAAGAGCCGTGGTTCCTGAAAAACCACATGAAGGCGCACGGCCCCAAGGCGGGGAGCAAGAACAGGCCCAAGAGCGAGCTGGACCCCATCGCCACCATCAACAACGTGGTGCAGGAGGAGGCCATCGTGGCCGGCCTGGCCCTCTATGAAGTCTGCACCAAGTGCGGGAGCCTGTTTACAAACCTGGACAGCTTGAACGCCCACAACACCGTCCACCGCAGGGTGGAGGCGGGCCGGACGCAGGCCCTGGCGGGGGAGGGCGAGCTCGGGCCTGTGGACTCCCAGCAGCTCTTCCTCCAGTGCCTGAGCCTGTGCCCCGCTGGGACAGGTGCGCCCCTCCACAGACAGACAGGGCAGCGTGTGGCCGAGCTGGACCCGGTCAACAGTTACCAGGCCTGGCAGCTGGCCACCAGGGGCAAGGTGGCTGAGCCGGCCGAGTACCTCAAGTACGGGGCGTGGGACGAGGCGCTGGCCGGGGACGTGGCCTTCGACAAGGAGCGCCGCGAGTACATCCTGGTCAGCCAGGAGAAGCGCAAGCGAGAGCTGGAGCCTGGTGCGCAGGGCCCCCCACGCAAGAGAGCGGGCGCACCCGGGGACCCCATGCCTGGGACCCTGGACCCTCGGCCTGCGGCACGCCCCAGCCGCCGCGCAACCACCCCTGCCGGCCAAGGCAAGTCCTCCGAGTGCTTTGAGTGCGGCAAGATCTTCCGCACCTACCACCAGATGGTGCTGCACTCCCGGGTGCACCGCCGCGCGCGCCGGGACCAGGACGGCGCCGGGGACCGCGCGCCCCGCGCCCGCTGCGGCTCGCTCAGCGAGGGTGACTCGGCCTCACAGCCCAGCAGCCCCGGTTCGGGCTGCGCAGCAGCCGACTCTCCAGGCTCGGGCCTGGCCGAGGAGGGTGCTGATGAAAGCGGAGAGGAGGGCACAGCCGACCCTGTACCAGGTGAGAATGCGCGCCTGTGCTGCCAGGTTGCAGGTGGTGGGCGCCCAGGGTGGCTTAGGCCCAGGTAGTCTGGGCTCAGGTAGCTCTGCACCCAGGTGGCCCAGGCCTAGGTATTCCTAGCTGAGGTAACCCCATACCCAGGTGGCCCCATGCCCAGGTGGCTCCATGCCCGGGTGTCCCTGAGACCAGGTATGCCTGGCTCAGTGTTTTGTAACCAGGTAGCCCTGTGCTCCAGTAGCTCTTCCCAAGGTATTTCTGAGCCCATTAGGTCCAGGCTTAGTAGCCCTGCAGCCAGGTGGCTCAGGCAGACCTGGTGCCCAGGTACCCATGCCAAGGTGTTGGAGGCTCTGATAGCTCTGAACCCAGGTTTTCCAGGCCCAGCAGCCCCATAGGCACGTGGTTCAGTGTTCTGCACCCAAAACCCCTGTGCCCAGGTCGCCCTTTCAAAGCTACCTCACGCCCAGGTCGCCTGGGCTCAGGCAGGCCTGCACCCGGGTGGCCCTGACTCAGGATGGTGGTGTCACGCAGGTGCCTGTTGCTCCCTTTCCGGCTCCTTTTTGTTCATTGCCCGTAGGCGTTTGTGTCAACGGACAGCTTTGACCCATTGAGTTGATGGTCTCTCAGGGGGCATCAGTCATTTAACACGCTACACACGACAGACCACCCACAGGGTGGGTACCCTTCTCTTCCCTTGCAATCCCAGACCTAGTCCCCGCATCACGGTGCGCACACGTGTGTGCACAGAGCAGGCACAGAAGGCACACGCATGCGCACACACTTTCACCTGCCCCCCTCCTCCCCTGCACCACGCAGCCAAGTGAGAGAGTAACTTCAAACCAGCGTGCGGTTATAATTAATCTCCCCGGATTCAGGTAACCCTGTGGGCTCAGCGACAGCTAATTGGCAGGCACTCCTTTCTAAATAGCAGCTATGTAAACATGGGGTGATGCTTGGCCAACTTTGTTTTCACCATTTTCCTACTTTTTGTACATTTTGAATATTTCGATACTTTCTTCATCGTTGTGGGTAATCCTTACAAGTTATAGAACTTGTATCTTCATGTAGCCAGGAATGTGTTCTTCCCAGCTCCCCGAAAACTGGTTAATGGATGTTGCTTTTCCCGAAAGGTCAGGGGTGATGGAAACACAGTTGCTTCAGCAGGGCTATTCATGTTCTGTAGGGAGGAAAACACCACTTACAAGTGTGCGTGTAGGTAGGTGAATAATAATGCGTTGTGCGTTGACCCAGATTTCCCACTTAGGGCTCTGTTGTTAACCGGCGTGAACCCGTGGGAAGGGGCAGGGGAATACATTGTCCCAGAAAGTACAAGCTCCTTCCCTGAGCTTTTTAAAATTCTTCTAACAGTTTCTCATGCAAAACCTGGTGGACCCAATCGCAACCCCTGGGTGGCATTTTAATTCTTGGTGTTCCCCTTTAAAATGTTTTACAACTGGAGATTTTGCCTGGTCACGTCCCAGCGATACCGTGACTGCCTTTTGGAGCATGGATAAAATATTAGGCTAGTCCTGACTCTTATTTATTTATTTGAAGACAGATATTTTTATTTCATTATGTTTTGGTTAATCCTCACCTGAGGATACATTTTCATTGATTTTTTTTTTTAGGTAGAGTAGAAGGGAGGAAGGGAGAGAGAGACATGGATGTGAGAGAGAGACATCATTGAATGTCCCAACCCCGACCAGAGCCGGGGATCAAACCTGCCCCTTGACTGGTTCGTGCCCTTGGCTGGGAATCAAACCTGTGACCCTTTGGTCTGTAGGCCAACACTCTAACCACTGAGCAAAACCAGCCAGGGCTGAAGACAAATATTTTTAATACTTGGAGAAGCTCTTGGGCTTGGTCCCGATCGGTCATGATGGCAGGCAAGCGATTAATCCGAAGCTAATTCCGTAGGTGCTCTTAAAGGCATCACATTGAAAAGATCAAATTATTTTCACTATTAATTAGAAATTGTTCTTTTTATCAAGTTCCCTAAGTTTTAAAGACTATCATCTGCTTCTTAAGAAGATCATATATATTTTATCTATATGTAACCTACTTTTTGAGACACTCGACACCTCACTTGATTCTACAACGAGATCATAGATAGTAGTTGAATTTCAACCACCAGTCGAATGAACAGGATATTGTAGCTTATCGAGAGGCTTGAAGACAGAATTTATCCCATGACAACGGCAGAGAATGTTCAAGAACAGTGTAGGTCTGCATGGGGCACTTCTGTAACCCCAGAGGGCAGTATCTTTCCTCCTGAACCCCCACCTTTTCAGTCCCAGGGACCGTCGGTGGGGAGCGCAGCATCAGCTCGCTCGCTCCTGGGTGCTCCGCGGATGTAATTCGTGCAGAGTTTGCCTCAGGCCCGTGCTGCAGCTGTTTGGGAAAGGAGATGGGTGTTTTGGATGCTCTCATGATCTGTGGTGTGCCTTTTTTTCCCTTAAAAAATGCTTGTAACTCCGGAAAAGGTCCTTTCCCGTTACCAAAAGATTACTTAGACTTTTAAACATCTACGTGACCTTAAGTTCTTGTAGCACTTGGACGGGATGACTGGTTGGAATTGTCAGGACAAAGCCATCGAAGGGGAAGCACAGGATCACAGCCGCCCCACAGGAGCGAACCCCGGCGGGTTTTGGGGCAGCAGAGTCGATGCTGAAACTCTGATCTCTGTGACCCTTACAGTATCACCCCCAGCCCCGGTGCCATAATTTTACCCAGAGATTTTTCTTTGACCTCCAGGAGTGGGTTTGAACGTTGCTTCGGTAGCTAGAGACACTTTAGAGTGACGGAAAAGACACCTTTTTTTCAGGAGATACTCCTCTGTGTCGGTGTTGCTGCCTGGCCCTTGGAGGGTCCCATTGTCACCCTGTGTCCATTTCCCCCGGAGACTGGGTCCCCGCAGCCTCAGCCCTGAGTTCTAATACAAAGAGCAAAGTTGTGAATAAAGGTCAATACTTTGAAATGTGTGACTGAGCGAGATTGAAACCCTCTATGGAAAAAGGGCCCAGAGCTCACTGAAATGAACTCTGTCCGTCAGGGAGGAGTCGGGGAGGCCGGGTACTCGAAGTTGATGACAAGTAGCGTTTGCAGACGCAGAGCAGAGTCAGGGTGCTTCGAGGTCATCAGTGAGGACAGTGGCTCTTTGCCTCGAGTCGCCGGGTCAGACAGCCTGGGGACAACTTCGGGGTGATGGCAGGCCGCTGGGCACGCCCCATGTGGCACCTGCATGTGCCCTTAGAGTTAGTGCCGTCGTCGGGAGCACCTTCCGGCGGCCCCGCCTGGTGCGGGGACCATCACAGGTGTTTGAACCCGCCTCGGTGCAGAACTCCCAGGGGCCTGTCTCTGACGTACCTGCACGTCACTCCTGCTAAGGCATATGTGACTGCTCCAGGTCTGGACCAGTTCATGTTGTTCTGGCCTCTTCTCGTCCATCAAATCCACACTCTGTTGAGCTCTTCCTTTTATTTATCTCTGGATGGTCTCCGTAACTCAGCTGATACACAACCCCGGGTTTTAGGTCTGTCGTGTGCAATTGCAAGTACGTGACTGTTTTTGGCGACGAGATGGCAGACGAGATGGCTGGGCCCAGTGCTCTGAGAGCCTAGAACAAGGGCCGCAGGGTCAGCAGTAGGAGGGGCGCAGGGGAGAGTTCCAGAAACAGACGGGATGGCGAGGGAAGGAGAGGGAGCTGGAGGGAGAAGTCAGTGGGTTACTGCAGCGAGTCTCCGTTTCCCTGTTCCTCTGCCCCCCCCAGGCCGCACCCTGCACCATCACAGCTGAAAAAGGTCTGGTCTCTGGTGATACGCTGTTAGCTGGGCACATGCTTCCTGACTGACCACTTGACCCCGCTGCAGGCGGGGCAGCGGGGAGGACCGGGCTCGGTCACACACCGGTGCGGAGGTTGAGCAGTCACGGGAACAGCTTGGGGGACGTGATTCTGTCTGTCCACCCATCGTAACAGGCGTTAGGGTGCATCTAGCTGAAGAAGTAACTGGAGACCGCAGCCTGTGTGGTTCCACACTGCCCTGACCACTGAGGAATTGATTTAGTCGGGAAGAGATGAATCAGTCGAAAACCTTCATATTTAATTCTTTTTTTTTTTTAATTTAATCCTCACCCGAGGACATTTTTTGCATTCATCTTCAGATAGAGTGGGAGGGAGAGAGGGAGGAAGAGAGAGGGAGAAACATCGATGTGAGAGAGACACATCGAGTGGCTGCCTCCCGTGTGACCCCAACCAGGGCCTGGGACTAACTGCAACCGAGGTACGTGCCCCTTAGCGGGTCTGAACCCGGGTCTCTCTGGACCGCAGGCCGACGCTCTAACCACTGAGCCAAGCCGGCCAGGACCGTGTTTAACTCTTACTCATTATAAAACACAGCCCAGGTCCTTAAGCGAAACCCTCAGATGACTTGATGGCAGAGTGTGGACAGCCCAGTGGTTTCGTCAGCATCTTCGCAACCACAGGGGCTTTGACAGCTCTGCGGGCGCGAGGCTTGGTGACGACTGTCCAGGTGGCGCTGTCACAGCCGTGCGCCCTGGGTCACCCGAGAAACATGGAGTTACAGTGGGGACGGTGCGCTTCTCTGTACCCCAACTGCCCAGGCAGGTCAGCTCTGCGGAGCGCGCGGGGTGGTGTTTGCTCGGACAGAACCCCACGTTCTGTTATTCGCGAGCGACATCAGCCTCTAGAGACCGCGCTTTGGGATTTCCCTCCCGTCACCGGTGACACGTGGCATCTGTGCACTCGGTGCCGCCGAGCCAACTCTGTGCCAAGCAAGCGTTTCGGTTTGCTAGCAAAACTCAAACACGCGACTTATGTTCTCTCTCTCGTAGCTGTTTTCTTTGTGACACAACATAGAATCGTAGAATCTTCGAGCTGGGAGATGCCAGGGCACAGGTGTTTATTATGCCCCCACCCCCGATTTTGTCACCGAGGAAACTGAGGCACAGGGAAGTCTTACGCTTTGCCCGAAGCCGAGGGGTGT